AGCATGCTTGCATTGCGGTGCTGAGTAAGGTTTATAATTTCTTCATAAACTATAAAAATAAATGACAAATTCATGCTAGTGTTCACACCTCCCAGCATCCCTTTCGGTTTGTTTTTCCTCTGACATAAACATGAGCAAAATGAGGGTGACTCAGAGAAGAAATTTTAATGTTATGTGACATGTTAAGACCTCGGTCTATATCTGCATTTACACATACTGTACACACTAAACAGAATGAGAGTGAAAGAGATGTGCAAGCAATACTCCTTTGTAATAATCTCAGACAAAAAAAAAACTGCAGGAATTAATCTGCAATCCTGTGCACCGTGTGGGAGGTCGATCGATCCAGTATTGACAATGTCCAAACAAATGTTAAAGAGCATGTTCTTTGAAAACGCTAAGATCCTCAGTCATGTCCTCTAACAAGAGCTATTCAAACACAGTCAAACGCTAATGTGTGTGTTTATGTGGTGATTCTGCTGAATGCAAGCATGCGGTGTTAATCTGCTGTCATTAATGTACAACTGTCATTATGCGAAGTTGCTGAATCATTTTGCCTGCGGATGAAGTACAGAGGACATCCACATTTACAATGACATCCCATAATACAGAATATCTTTTTTTTTTTTAAAACATACTGTACACACTAAACAGAATGAGAGTGAAAGAGATGTGCAAGCAATACTCCTTTGTAATAATCTCAGACAAAAAAAAACTGCAGGAATTAATCTGCAATCCTGTGCACCGTGTGGGAGGTCGATCGATCCAGTATTGACAATGTCCAAACAAATGTTAAAGAGCATGTTCTTTGAAAACGCTAAGATCCTCAGTCATGTCCTCTAACAAGAGCTATTCAAACACAGTCAAACGCTAATGTGTGTGTTTATGTGGTGATTCTGCTGAATGCAAGCATGCGGTGTTAATCTGCTGTCATTAATGTACAACTGTCATTATGCGAAGTTGCTGAATCATTTCAGCAGCTTCATCATTTCTTATGCGAAGCTGCTGAATCATTTTGCCTGCGGATGAAGTACAGAGGACATCCACATTTACAATGACATCCCATAATACCAGTCACACTGTTTCTGTCCAACACAGACACATGGCTGGATACAGAGATAAGTGATGTTTGCTAAAACATAACCTGTCCCGAACCATTGGCTCTACAGACATGAATGATCCCTCAAATCATACGTGTTGTTGAGGAGAATGTGCTGTTACTTTACCAAGTAATCAAATGCAGCATTTTCACCTGCTGGACCAGAAAACAGTTGAAGAAATCCCACAGATGACCACTAAAGGAGGAATCTGAGCCATAACAAGAGACCAGAAGATCACAGGGATGTGAGGACTCCATCATACAAGACATATGGCTCAGAACACCCTAGAAACTGCACAGCAACATGCTAAAAACACCTAGAACACCCTAGCAACTGCATAGAAATTAACGTCTTAGCAACCACATAAAAAATGTGCATAAGCACCCCTAAGACCCTAGGAATCACATAGCAACACACACAAAAACAAACAAACAAAGACCCAGAACACCTTAGCAACTGTATAGAAATGAACATCTTAGCAACCACATAAACAATTAGGTTAAACAGTCATAATACCCTAGAGACTGCATAGCAACACACTAAGAAAACACCCAGAACACCCTACCAACTGTATAGAAATTAACATTTTAGCAACAACATAAACAATGCGCTTAAACAGTCATAACACCCTAGAAACTGCATAGCAACACACTAAAAACACCCAGAACACCCTAGCAGCTGTACAGAAATGAATATCTTAGCACCCACATTAACAATGCGGTTAAACAGTCATAGTACCCTAGAAACTGCATAACAACACACTAAAAACACCCAGAACACCCTAGCAACTGCATAGCAAAACATAAAAACACCCAGAACACCCTAGCAACTGTATAGAAATGAACATCTTAGCAACCACATAAACGATGCGGTTAAACAGTCATAGTACCCTAGAAACTGCATAGCAACACAAAACACCCAGAACACCCTAGCAACTGAATAGAAATAAACATCTTAGCAACCACATTAACAATGCGGTTAAACAGTCATAGTACCCTAGAAACTGCACAGCAATGCACAAAAAACACCCCAGACCACCCTAGCAACTCTATAGAAATGAATATCTTAGCAACCATGTAACAAATGTGCATAAAGACTAACAACACCATAGGAATTGCATAGCAACACACTAAAAAAACCAGAACACCTTAGCAACTGTATAGAAATTAACATCTTAGCAACTTCATACAAATGTGCTTAAACAGTCATAACACCCTAGAAACTGCATAGCAACATGTTAAAATAACAATCAGAACATCCTAGCAACTGTATAATATTAATATCTTAGCAACTGCATAGAAAATGTGTTTAAACACTATGACACTCCAGGAACCACATAGCAACAAACTAAATGAACCATAGCAATGCACTAAAAACACACACAGAACATTGCAACAATGCATTACAATACACTACAAACCACATCGAACACCTAGCAACCACAGAACATGCTAAAACACCCTAGCAACTGCATAGAAAACAAGAATTTGACAAAACTTTGACAAACACTAATTGTGACATGAACTACACTCACATTTTCTTCAGAAACATAAAAATCTATTTTGACATGTTTTTTCACGAGAACTTCAAAGATAAAAGACTTGATGTTCAGCCCGAACAAATTCAAATCGTTTCAATTGAATACAACCACAAACACTGACACAACATTTCTAAAAGAATTCAGTGCATGAATCTGTGATCTACTGCAGCTCATTCTTGCTTTGAGCTTTTGTTTTGCAGCATGCCGCTGACGTTAATGCGTTCTGCTGTAAGTGTGTTCAGGTATGATGGGATTTCATGTAGATCAGCAGAAAATGCATATATTTTTTAAAGGAAAATCCAGGTTAAGTTAGCTGTTATGGATTTTCCATCATAAGTGCTAACATGCTAATTAACAAATAGCATGATCACAATTTGATCAAAAATGCCAGTATCATACGCAAATGATTTAAATATGTGACAGAAACTCCTCCTCCAGAAGTGACGTTATTGTGACTAATCAGACGAAATGTCTTCAATTCAGGAAGGTAGTCAACCTAACAATAGCTTACTTATAGTCATCTCACAGTACAAGCACACAGCGTGCAATCCAACACAAATCCTGTGAAGTTGTAGTTTCGGATGGATCGCCTGTCTAAAAGTTATTGGCGAAGTTAAAGATGTTAAAGACTCCCATCAAAGTGATGAAACTGCAGCGGTGGTTTTGCCTCACTGGAGGTCACTCATCGGCATTATGACATCATAAATCTGAGCCGGAGCGAGCGGCTGAGCGTACAGCCTGCTGATGAACTATTGGCAGGCGGCCCATCAATCTGCACACAAATCTCCATGTTTGACTCTTCATATACAAGACCGGCCCCCAGGGGCCCCTCATTCAATCTCACCAATGCTATAGAATCACCTAGAAAAAATTTAGCATGTCACGGAGCTCTTTGGAGGTTAAATCAAATTGGCTTTTGTTGGCTATGTTGCCTACGTGCACGTGGCTGCGGTTAGGGGACGTTCTGTAGATGAATTCGTTTATAGTCCACCAGCAGTCATTTATCTTTTCGACAACAAAGTCTGAGTTCGGAGCGTCGTAATCACATGGACTCGTCATGCATGCATGCATAAACCATCACAGATTTGCTGTTTCTAGTCCAAATTTGAGCAGAAAGACTCATCTGACAGGGTGCTAGACAAAGACCTCATTTCGTTACTGATTGAACAAGACTGCCAGAGCACAAACTTGATCTTCCCATTCTGAAGTATATTACGAATGCAGCAGATCAGCACAATCAAGACCACTGCGCTGTGAAGGTGAACAATAACAAATGGCACAATGCTGGTGTTCAAAGGCGAGCACAGTCTCCACCGCAGCGTGCTGGAAAACAGCAGTTCTCAACTAGTGTGTTGCAAAGCCAAAATGATGGGTCACAGACAGCATGGGGGGGGGGCAAAATGCAAATAATAAAATTCCTCTAAGCATGAAATCATGCATTTTAAGGACTGCACAATAAATTAAAATATCAACTGTTTTTAAGGGAGGAGAAAACCATTCTCATATCTTTAGTTGTTGGTTATAGTAATTAAAAATTAAGTAGCTAATATTAATAAATAGACAGTGTAAGAAAATAGGACTCAGCCTATATCACATGAAGTTTAAGTTTAATTATTGCTTTTATAATGATAATACATATGAAATTATTATAAATATATAATATAAATAAATTGTATATGTATAAACAATATAATTTAAAAAAAATTAATTTATACATTTTAATTAAATACTACACTTCGATAGCCACAAATAATACATTTCAAAGATCATGTAAATATATTACTATTTTAAACAATAATTGATTTAAATTAACAATCATTTTGATTAATAAATTTAATTTAATCATAAATAATATATTTAAACTACAAATAATACATTTCAATAATACATTCAATAATTTTTATAATATATATATATATATATGTAAAAATATTATATATAAATATATATTTATATTGTGTATAAATATAATAAATAAACAATATTCATAATATTTATAATTATTTAAGCTACAAATAAGAAATTTAATAGTATATACAATGTTTTTATAATAAATATTTAGAATGATTATAAATACATAAAATTTAAACAATAATGAATTAATAATTTTTTTAATTTAACAATAATTTTAAAAACTACAAACACAACAGTTCAGTGTTTTTATAATAAATATATAATTAAAAATTCTAATATAAATCTATAATAAATAACCAATATTTAAAAAATAATGTATTTTAATTAACAATCATTTATGTATGTTAAGTGTGTACAGTATGTATGTTCATTCAGCACTATAGCTGTAAAATCTGAGCCCTTTAGCAAAAACCAGTTGAGAACCACTTTAATAAAAGTCTTCTTACCTCAGTCCGGATCTTTACATGCTCAGCATCACGTGAGATGGGACGGACGTTCTGGAGCGCTCCACAAATACAGCGAAATCCTCCCAGCGCTTTGTGTCATTCTGAAAGCAGATGACAGACAGCTCAAATCAGAACCTCCATACTCCTTCACATTCATTTTTAAGCAGCTCAAGAGGATGCAATTAATCTTCACAGATAATTAGCCCGAATATAATACCACAATCAAGAGACTAATGACTGACTAAACGTTCAGTGTTTGCATTGTTAAGTGTTTCACCCACACAAACCAAAGCTCAAATGTGTTTTTTGTGAACAAATGCAAGTAATAGTCACTCTCCTCAAAGACTTACATGATCTATAGCACAAATAATTAGTAACTATGAGCAACAGTGAAGCTATTTCAGATTCAGTCTAAGATAAACCATCCTAAACCAAACAGGACTGAACAATCTTCCGGACTAAATGTTTGTCTGATAGCGATTCTCCATTCACAATCATTTCAAGGTCTGAGAAACACTCAAATTGAGTTCAGGCAAAGCTTCCCGGGAGTCACTTAGTTTAGTTTTTGAATTTGGACAGCGTTTATGAAAACATGAATGTTCATTTCTTTTAATACAGTGCGCTGTCGCCCTTTCTACGTAAAAATCAGTCAAATCATGTAACGTGAATGTCGTTCAGTTTTGCTCGAGACTAAAAAAATCAGTACCGAGCCACAGAAGAGACTCTGTTTCTCTAGCGCTTTCCGCGAGCGCGATTCGAGACGGAGTGAAAGACGGACAAATGCGTTTCATTCATTCGTTCATAACCACTCATACCCCACTCCACTGCACCCCACTGACACAGTTTTGCGTAGGGCCCCCAGAAGTCTAGGATCGGCACTGACCGTACATATAATGCGCCTCCCATCCAATAAATCGCAACAGGCTTTGTGCGTTGTTATGTTTGATATGAAACAAAGTCTCAGATTTCAAATTCTGTCCGTTTTAATAGGAAATTCAAGCAATAAATATCGTTTTGGCACTCTTTAATGTGGCAGCGCGAAGTGTTTTTGCTTTACTAGTGCTCGTGAGTGTTTTATTTTTGTTCTGGAGCTGATGATCCCGCGCTCTGCTGCCACACTGGAGCGCACTCGCCACCAACTGGACAGGGGTGGGTATTACAGTTATAAATTACAATAGATCACCGTCAGTGTAATGTCAAAGTGACGGAGAGCCTTCAGATATTTCCGTCACTGCTAAAACAATTCTGTGAATGACGGAAAAAAATGTGGGTTATATATACGGTATATTATAAAACTGAAACAGAACAACATTTTCAAGCACTGCAGAGAAATAATTTGTAAGGTAGTCAACCTAACCATAGCTTACTCAAGTTGTCTCACAGCACAAGTTGTCTTGCACAAATCCTTTGAAGTTGTAGTTCGGGATGGATCGTCCGTCTAAAAGTTACTGGCAAAGTTAAAGACGCCGCTCCCATCAAAGTGATGAAACTGCAGCGGTGGTTTTGCCTCACTGGAGGTCACTCATCGGCATTATGACATCATAAATCTGAACCGGAGCGAGCAGCTGAGCGTACAGCCTGCTGATGAACTATTGGCAAGCGGCCCATCAATCTGCACACATATCTCCATGTTTGACTCTTCATATACAAGACTGGCCCCCAGGGGCCCCTCATTCAATCTCACCAATGCTTTAGAATCACCTAGAAAAAAAAGAGCATGTCACAAAGCTCTTTGGAGGTTAAATCAAATTGGCTTTTGTTGGCTATGTTGCCTACGTGCACGTGGCTGCGGTTAGGGGACGTTCTGTAGATGAATTCGTTTATAGTCCACCAGCAGTCATTTATCTTTTCGACAACAAAGTCTGAGTTCGGAGCGTCGTAATCACATGGACTCGTCATGCATGCATGCATAAACCATCACAGATCAGCAGAAAGACTCATCTGACAGGGTGCTAGACAAAGACCTCATTTCGTTACTGATTGAACAAGACTGCCAGAGCACAAACTTGATCTTCCCATTCTGAAGTATATTACGAATGCAGCAGATCAGCACAATCAAGACCACTGCGCTGTGAAGGTGAACAATAACAAATGGCACAATGCTGGTGTTCAAAGGCGAGCACAGTCTCCACCGCAGCGTGCTGGAAAACAGCAGTTCTCAACTAGTGTGTTGCAAAGCCAAAATTATGGGTCACAGACAGCATGGGGGGGGGGCAAAATGCAAATAATAAAATTCCTCTAAGCATGAAATCATGCATTTTAAGGACTGCACAATAAATTAAAATATCAACTGTTTTTAAGGGAGGAGAAAACCATTCTCATATCTTTAGTTGTTGGTTATAGTAATTAAAAATTAAGTAGCTAATATTAATAAATAGACAGTGTAAGAAAATAGGACTCAGCCTATATCACATGAAGTTTAAGTTTAATTATTGCTTTTATAATGATAATACATATGAAATTATTATAAATATATAATATAAATAAATTGTATATGTATAAACAATATAATTTAAAAAAAATTAATTTATACATTTTAATTAAATACTACACTTCGATAGCCACAAATAATACATTTCAAAGATCATGTAAATATATTACTATTTTAAACAATAATTGATTTAAATTAACAATCATTTTGATTAATAAATTTAATTTAATCATAAATAATATATTTAAACTACAAATAATACATTTCAATAATACATTCAATAATTTTTATAATATATATATATATATATATATATATATATGTAAAAATATTATATATAAATATATATTTATATTGTGTATAAATATAATAAATAAACAATATTCATAATATTTATAATTATTTAAGCTACAAATAAGAAATTTAATAGTATATACAATGTTTTTATAATAAATATTTAGAATGATTATAAATACATAAAATTTAAACAATAATGAATTAATAATTTTTTTAATTTAACAATTATTTTAAAAACTACAAACACAACAGTTCAGTGTTTTTATAATAAATATATAATTAAAAATTCTAATATAAATCTATAATAAATAACCAATATTTAAAAAATAATGTATTTTAATTAACAATCATTTATGTATGTTAAGTGTGTACAGTATGTATGTTCATTCAGCACTATAGCTGTAAAATCTGAGCCCTTTAGCAAAAACCAGTTGAGAACCACTTTAATAAAAGTCTTCTTACCTCAGTCCGGATCTTTACATGCTCAGCATCACGTGAGATGGGACGGACGTTCTGGAGCGCTCCACAAATACAGCGAAATCCTCCCAGCGCTTTGTGTCATTCTGAAAGCAGATGACAGACAGCTCAAATCAGAACCTCCATACTCCTTCACATTCATTTTTAAGCAGCTCAAGAGGATGCAATTAATCTTCACAGATAATTAGCCCGAATATAATACCACAATCAAGAGCCTAATGACTGACTAAACGTTCAGTGTTTGCATTGTTAAGTGTTTCACCCACACAAACCAAAGCTCAAATGTGTTTTTTGTGAACAAATGCAAGTAATAGTCACTCTCCTCAAAGACTTACATGATCTATAGCACAAATAATTAGTAACTATGAGCAACAGTGAAGCTATTTCAGATTCAGTCTAAGATAAACCATCCTAAACCAAACAGGACTGAACAATCTTCCGGACTAAATGTTTGTCTGATAGCGATTCTCCATTCACAATCATTTCAAGGTCTGAGAAACACTCAAATTGAGTTCAGGCAAAGCTTCCCGGGAGTCACCCGAAATTAATTCTGATCCTGTCCTGATCAAATATCCCTAAAACCTTTCCCTCAGGGATATAATTTGTGTTTTATTGTGCCGAGGTCTGAACCAAATGAATTCAGCAGCAGATTCAATAAACAAACTGATACGATCCGCTCGCTCAAATCGAATGAAAGCGAATGGAGAGCCTCGCTGTCCCTGAATACAGCGATTTTAATTCTGGGTTTGATCAATTACTCTTGTCACCAAAAACAAACAATGCAATAAAGATGGGACCTTTATTTCATAAGCCAGTTGGTTTTGCTCAGAGCTGAATATTTCGTACACAACGGTATTGAAAATGAAAGCCACGCTAGTTTAAGGTGCTCCAATACTTCCAGCACTGCATTCGCCAGCCAAGCAACTGCCATTGAAATAAATGGGAATGCATATGGTTAGCTCTCTCCAGAGATATTACAACTCACTGATCACAGTCATTAGGGGGAGACGATCTCTTTAATATCTCAATAGTGTCTCCTATATATCCGTGAGATTAAATGGAGAGTGGGAGACTTTTCTGAAGTAGAGAAAGACTCTAGAAATCAGAAGAGTTCTCAATAACGTCTCAAATTATGCTCAGATTTGCCAAGATTCCAAAATCTGTAATCAAGAGATCTCAATATGAACATTTCTCATCAAATTCTCATTAATTTATATCTCTATACCCTTACTCTATGTCAACAATTGATTGCTTTTACTTCTCTTAAAGGAGAAAGGAAATTAAAGGAAAAACATGAGAAAGTTGAAACTTAAATAAGACATAATTAAGAACTATTGACTCATTTGAATCAGAATATTTAGGAGAAAAACATTGAGTTGAGACATAAGTGAGAACTCCATCATGACTCCGTAATTTCTCTTAGACATCAATGAGATCAAATGGAGATTTTGAACATGTGTTCTACTTCTTAGATGTTTCTCCTGAGAAAAACACACTAGTCTCAACTAGAGTTTCAGAAGAGATCTCCACAATGTCTCAAACTTTGCTCAGATGTTTCAAAGTCTGCAGTCAAAATACTTTGCATGTCAACAATAAAACATAGGATTCTGTTTTGACTTTTCCTAAGTATAGTAATGAAAAAACATGAGTTGAGACATAACTGAGAACTCCATCATGACTTTTTAATATCTCAATCAATAGCTTCTCTTAGACATTAATGAGATCAAATGGAGAGCAAATGGAGACTTTTCCAGAAGTGCCCAACTTCACAGATGTTTCACACCTTACTCTCAACTACAGTTTCAGAAGAGATCTCAACAATGTCTCGAACTCTGCTCAGATGTGCCAAAGCCTGCAGGC